GGGGGGGGGATGAACTAACGTGACTGTGGGCTGCACAATGTGACGGAAGGAAAAAGTTTCAGAGCAGGGCGCAGCTGGGCGCTCTCCCTTCTCCCTTGGGCGCGCCTGGTTGCAATTAAACGGGCCTTGCTCTGCCAGACTCCGGACCTGATCCCCCCCACCCCCTGGTCAGCTCAGGGGGCTCGGGGAGGAGGCGGCCTGACCCCTCTGGGGAAGGTGCGGGGTGGGCACGGGGTGCCTGGCCCCGGGGCGGCTGTGCCAGGGGCACCTAGCTGGCTGATCCTTTGCAGTCCTCACCATTGCCCTCTACTACAATACCCTCCCCCCCTCCCTCACACACACACACACACACACACACACACACGTGCAAACACACATTCATACAGACACACACTTATACATATACATAGGCATAGGCATACATGCATGTACACATTCATATAGACACATGCCCATGAATAGCATACATAGGTATACACACACATTCATAGACATACACGCATACATCTGCATATACACGCATTCATACGCACATTCATCCAGGCACACACACCTGCATCCTTGCACACGTCTAGATACACACACATTCATACACACGCATACATATGCATACACACACATTCATACAGGCATACACACACATCCATACGTATGCATACACATATTCATACAGGCATACACACACATCCATACGTATGCATACACACACATTCATACACAGATACATAAGCGCTGCTGCTGTGTAGAGCCCCCCCCACGACCTTCCCTTTCGCTCCCTGCCAGCCCGAGGCAGACAAGCCGGGGGCTCCAACAAGGCGCGACCCCCGCCCCCCTGCCCCTCCAGCCGTGAACTTGTCCCCAGAGCCCTGCCCAGACTCCCGAGGCAGGTGGGAGCCGCTCCCCCCAACACAATGCGAGAACAAGCGCCGGCGCTGGCAGGGAGCAGGGCCCGGCGGGCAGGATCGGAGCCTCCCCGGGGGTCCGAGCTGCCCCGAGCCCAGGAGAGGGACCGTCTGTCCGGGCAGCGCCGAAACAAGCGCCCGCCACAAGGAGGAAGGGGGGGGTGGGCTGGAGAAAATAAAGAGCGGAGCGTGAGATCTGACTCCCCCGTGGCCGGTTAGCGAACCAAGCTGTGGCTGAAGCCTTATTTTCACCCACCCCGCTCCTCTTCTTTCCTCCCCGGATCGGGCTGCCATCCGTAGCCACGCTCTTCAGCCTGACTTAAGCCCCACAGGAGATGGGGAAGGAAATCTTTGCTCCTTAATGCCCTGAACAAATTAAGTTAATTTGCCAAATCCTTTGGGCGCAGTCCACCCCTGTCCCCGAGCGCGGGCGAGTCCCTCCCGAGGAGGAGAGAAGCCCTGGACCTTACACACACACACACACACAGGGCGAGCACTTAAAGCGAGTTCCCCCAGACTTTCCGCTCCTCCTCCGGGAAAGAAATCCAGGTCTACATGCAGGCAGGGCTGGGTAAATTATGGAAATCTTTTTTAATTCTTTGGGCGTAGAAACATCAAAGGAATATCGTTAGCTTTTTAAAAAAAATCTCTGCCACAGCTTTTGGTTTTTTACCGACTGAAATGTGCACTTCGTGTCCCACCGAGAACCTGGAACGGGGAGCGGGGCAGGAGGGTGGGAAAGACGAGTATTAACTCCGAGATGGGAAAAGAGGCTTTCTTTCAAATGCCTCCTCGGAAAATAATAATAATCAAGTTAATGTCTGTAATCTTCCCCACTGCCCCGGTAAAAGCGGGCTGAGGGCGATCGCGTTCAAACATCTGCATCTACATTATACCTTTGTCTAACTGCAAGACCTTCTTCCGACGACCTCTGCTCCTTTGATCTAATTGTGCTGCGTGTTGCATACTGACAAAGAGTTGCGTATTCCTCCTGTGCTAAACCAGGAGGTAAAAAACCACTGAGAGTCGTGCCCTGTCATAGCCGAAACGAAGGCAGCAGGCCCCCGCTGCAGAGATGCTCAGGCTACGTGCACTATGCGCTACGTGCACTATGCGCACTACAGTTTCCCAGAATTATAATTTCCGTCTTGTCCGTGGAAAGACACCCTGACATACTTTTCCGAATGAGTTTGACACCCTTATGCGGTTACAAAATGCAAACAGTTTTCCCCCTCCCTTCAGAAACAAGAGCCCCCTTCCCCTTCCTTACAATCGCTCCAGATTTTCCCGACTCCAGATGAGAACGGCTCTTTATCCAGTTAACATTCCCTAGGCTGATGCCTGAAGTATCTAAGATCACTTTCAAATGCCCTTTCTAACAAGACCTGAGCAAGAGGCCACTAATTTTCACTGAACAAAAAGCCACTGGAGAGAGATCCGTTTGTCAATATCAACTGGTCCAGCAATTTCCCATCTTCAGACACATCGGCCTATCTGAGCTGGCAGATGTTTAGACAAGATTTTATAAATTGTTCAATATCAGCCCATAATGAACCCCAACTGACCATTCCAAAGCAGCTAAAAGCATCCAGGATCTCCCCTGCTGGGATCTAATAATGCTCTCACGCTGGAACATTATTAATCATGGAATAAAATAGATGAGCCTCTTGAAAAATAAGTGTATGATTGATTAAAGGGCAATCTAAGAAGCTATTATTCTTGTTTTATAACCGTAAGTTATATTCACTCAATTTATCTTTTGGGGAAAATAAATGATTGTTCGGTTCTTTTCTAAAATTATATTATATGAGGATTCTCATTATTTTACAGAAAATGAAAATGATGGGTTAGCTGTTTTTACAAGCCTAATCGAGGTGGATCTCTTAAGCAACTAGCAAATTATACATAGGGTTTAAGCGACTCAGGGGAGGAAAAAAAGCATAAAAATTAAGGGCTGGGGTGTTTCGGGGTCTGGGTCTCCCCCTCTCCCACAGCATTGTTGGACATACTTAGAAACAAATGATTGCTTGACATACAGAAAATTAAGATGGGATATGCTGATATTTTTTTTTCTAGAAAAGAGAAATAAGAGCACCGAAGAATGCTAGCACCAAAAAAAAAAAAAAAAAAGGATGAATGGCCCCAGCATGTAAGAAATGCTCATGGATCCACATATGCACATGCACAACCACACATACATGTACACACATGCATGTGTGTACTAGTACTAATGCAACAGAACAACTCTGTAGGGTTTTACTTATGCAAAGTCTATCTTTGCAGGTTATTTAAATTGCTCATTTCGTTTACATTAAAAATATTCAGTGAAATTACAACTTGGTACATGTTATGATTTTTCTAAATCATATATTACTATTTTAGGGGGAAATAAATGAAAAACACCGTGCTGTTGCAGACTAGTCTGTTTTTATTTACAATTAAAGATATAAATTAGTAAAGAATTCTCGTTAAACAACCAAAGATTGTATAACCATCAACGTTTCAAATAAAAACCAAGCAAAATTTATTTACAAAAAGTTCGGATTCCATTGCAATACAACTTGCATAAATTACTAGAAGCTTTTATATCATTACAAAAATAAATATCAAATTTGTTTCCACTTTGTAAGTACTCAAGTTCTCCAATCACATCTTTATTATCTCTACTGTATACATCTTTTACAAATAAATTTTACAATAAATCCTATCACACCTATAGAATATATACCGTGGCAATGAAGTGATCAATTCAAGATATCCTGAGAAAAACAGATCTGTTTTCAAAAGTCACACATACATTTTGGAAACTATACTATACCAGCAAACTCACATATGTCCAACAAAATTCTCTTTGAATAATTAGAGTCTGTAGATTTAATAGTGCTCTGTGGTCTTCTTTTATACAGTGGCACAAGATGTGATCGGATTTAAAGATTTATTATATATATTAGCTTGGGGAGAGATGATGGCTTGCTGACTTTTTTCAAAGCAATTGTGACACCTACCTGTGGACCAAGGAAAAAACCAGATCATCTAAAATCCTTCAGTTATACACTAATATCTTCTTTCTTTTTTTTTTTTTTTTTAAAGAAAAAGGAAAAAAAAGGAGGTGAACTAAAATGCTTACTCTTCTATTTTCTTCTCGGAAAAAAATACTACTTTTAAAAGATCGACAACATTTTGTTTAACCTTAAACAGAGAAAGGGGGTGGGAGGAGGAGGGGCGTTGTTACTGGGCAAAAGACAATTCATGCCCAGCTGGAAATGCACGCTGGAAATTAGCATTGTCCTTGTTTGTTTAAAATTTGTAATCACCGTGTGAAACTCGGTCCATAATGTACCATTTTGACGATATTATCTTCACACAGCCACCTTACTGTTTGAAAGAGTGATTTATTGAGAAAGAAATAGATTGAAAGCTATCTCCATGAAATTTAAATCGTCGGTAATGTATTGTTTTAACAAACCGGGCACATAAAAGCGATAGGAATCCTCTACACTGGCCTACAAAAGAGCACAGACTCAGGAAAGAAAAGCCATAATCAGGGGGGTTTAAAAAAAAAGACCAGAAAAGAGCATATTACTATGTAATCAGACTCTTATGTAATGAAGCAAGAAATTAATGTTAAGCAAGTTTACAGCTGTGCAATATGTCTTGGACTTGATGCCAAATGATCAGTGTAATAGAAAATGTTCTCACTTACTTGCATTGCTGTGTGATTGCACTTCTATAGGTATGGTTGTGCTCCTACTGTGCAGACTTCAGTGGGATCTGTCAAAATAGAACCGTCAGTTAGTCACAGGACACAGCTAGCTAACTAGATTATACACTCTGGGTGCGTCCCAGCTCTCACTTACACAAAATTCAGAGCTGCGCCATTTGAAAACCTCTGCCTTTCCCTTTCCGAATTGGATAATGGTGGTGACTGAGCTCCTGAGTCACTTCCAGCACCAGACAATTTTATTAATTTACTGTCCTAATTTTAAACCCTTCTGAAAATAGTAGTAATAACAATAAAGTAGAGTTTAAGGTTTTACACTTCATTTGGAAACCTATTCCTTCACTGTGGGAAAGGATGTAACTCCTTAAAATCAAAAGGAAAGAAAGCACGTCCTATTTCACTAAACCCAGCAGTCCAAATGGAAAGATAAACAGGGTTTAAAATAATATACATACATTAGTTGAATTTATCGAGGCTGGGGTTTGGGGGTTGTTGGTTTTTTTTTTCTTTTTTTTTTTCGGCTACATCTGTGTAATCCATTAGATCTCTCTTTTTTTTTAAAAAAAAAAACCCTCCTTCAATACATCTCCTGTCCTCCTTACTGCATGCAAATATCGGCTTGGGGGTTAAATAGTTTTTGAAAGCCCACATTTTATTCCTGTCCAGCTTCAATATTGGGCTCATCGCTGTGAGGACCGCCGGCAGAGTTGTCTGTCCTTGGAGGTGCTGCTATTGATCGTCCAAACAAGCACAGCGCAGCTAAACTCGCCTACAGGAGTGATTTTGCCTTTAGGAAAAAAAGGAAAAGGGGGGAGAGGGGAGGGGAAGGGTAGGGCGGGAGGTGAAAAAAAATTTTAAAAAAAAGAGCAAGCAGGCACCTACCTTTCTTGGGCTCGTAACTAGAGGGCCTGTAATGCTGCTCGAGCTGGTTAGTGATGGTTTTCAAAGAGTCAGTGCTCTGCTTGTGGACAGAGCTGGTGTTTAGCACAGTCTGGCTTAGTCCGTCGTTGGAAGCCACCGCGGCGGAGTTGTATCGCAGGATCCCCTGGCTCTGGAGAGCGTTGAAGTTCCCATAGTTTGTGTAATTGCTATAAAAAGGCGAAGTGTAATAAATATGCCTTCCCAGGAGGGAGGAGGGGGAGTAGGCAGAGCTGTGCGGGGCGGAGGGGGGGGGGGCGGGGGGCACGGCCGGG